CCTCTACCGTTCAGAACAGCTTTACGGCACAAACCCAGCCACAGTTTTGATAACTTTAAAGTACAACTGACCTCAAAATATTTCAATAGAGTGCTAACCCATTTTTTATGAATTAGAGTCTCACAAAACACAACGGCAAGTCTGATCACTTCCCGCTTCCTGTTCTCAAGTCCTGCATGATGTGACTATCGCGCAACTTTCCTAGAAGCGCTAAGCAGCGCGTGCTGTGTGTGACCACTTGACTTCTCAACACCGGGCGCTTCCATGGCACGTCTGTCTCCGGTGTGCCTCAGGCTTTTCAAATGCAGGCATTGCAGTGTTTGCCGGCAGACTTGGCAACCCCGCGGGCTTACATGATTGGCTCTGGAACCAAGAAGTATGGAGGTGAGACAGAACATAAACAAAGACTATGCCCCAATTTCAATACTCACACTGCACCCTACGGTCTTCTGTGAAAGGCATTCTGCTTTGTCTAAAACATTCAGAGCATCAATTAATTGTTCTAAAATTAACTACTTTAATTTTAAAATACATTCTTTTCAGGAAAGGCAAAATACAAGGCTGCACCCACGCAATGGATTGTGGGTAACCGCCGAAGTCTGCATCGATGCGGACTTGATTGAGGTGCGGATCAAGGTTGCAAAAGGGGTGTGGTCAACGTATGCCTTTGAGAATCGGGACATCCTATGCACTCGCACCCCTGGATGGGAAATCGCAATTGGAGGGTGCAACAGTGGAAGTGTGAGAATTGGGATTGGGCCTGAGTCCATCTTTTGCCTTTTTAAAAGGAGAAAAACTGATAACTCCCCAACCGGCTAAAAAGGAAATCTGTTTCAATGTAACCTTCCTTCCAACATGCCTGAGACATTAGATTCCAGAAAACACAGGGTGAGACGGAGGCTTCCTGTGCGAGCACATGCAAATGATTACTTGTCGATGAATGGTAGATGGTAAATTCACGGGAGGGATTGAATTTGCGGGACGCATCATCAGTAGTGTACCTCTGGGTCGTGGGGTGTTTCAGACTTTGACACCATACACTCTACCTAGAGGCGGCCAGCTGTAGGTTGATCAGACCTCAGCTTGTGTCCCAAGTCCAAACTGTTTAAAAAACTCTTTTGTGATTATTTCATTGTAAAATTCTTGCTTAAATTAGAAAGAAATAGTAGAAAGGAAACAGACGTAAGCTTCAAAAGGTTCTTGAATTAAGAATGCAATCCTCTAATAATTAGAGCTCCAATTTAAAATACATTTTCCTCCCTATGCATGTTTTTGAGAGCAGAAATGGTCAATAAAACTAACCTCTTTACTGTAATTTTGAATGAGAAGTAAAACCTGACATAAGCCCACTAATACATCAACATAGAACACTTGTTTATGCAAAGAAAAATGTATTTTTCCTATGAACCTTCAGTCTTGACAGTGACTGCCGTGTTTGTAATATCCTGTGTTGACAGTGGGGTTACAATCATGTTTTCCTCCCCGTATTCTCCAGGTTTTTGTTAGCGGGGCGTCTCGGCCGTTGACAGATAATGGAATTGCTCTTCACCACTTGATCCCGAGGAAATAAGGCAGAAGATGAACGAGGAATCCCGGCTGTCAGTTGTGAGACAGAGAAGTCATGTAGGACGTCCTTCATTTCATGGAGAAGCTTCTGAAACGAATAGTCTGACATGTTAGACACACATCTCCTTAACGGAGTCCCAGTCTGGCATCTGACAAAAAAGAAAAAGTTGATTCTACATTAAACACAAAGCTGCTACGCTGTGCAAATAATGTTCTTTCAGATGGCAACCCCTCATCTTCTTTATGGCTTAAACTGTGCAATCCTCCCCACCTGCGTGGTTTAACACCTTTTTGAAAAGTAAATGTGTGGAAAGGCAAACTGCCTTCTACTGCACAGTAGGCTCTTTATTTGGCCGCGCCTGGGAAGGCCGAGGCCTCTCACCGCCCCGGCCGACCTAAGCAACAGCTGGCGTTCACAGCAACATTTCCTATTTCTGCCGAAGGTGGATCGTGTAACTCTCACTTTATCGCCCTTGAAGGCCACGTGAAGGACAAAGCAAGCAGGCCCATAAATAAAACAAATGTTTTGATACGTGCCCGCTTTGCAGCTGATTGAAGGAGCTACAGTGCTCTCAATAACCTCTTACCACCTGGACACGTGCCCAAAACACGTCTGACCTGTAAAACTCACTGTAGTTTGTGGTCTAAAAACTGGGGGCTCTTTGAATAAGCGTGTGATGTTGGGATCCTGAGGGGTGAGCTAAATTATTTATTTATTGTGTCCCATCTACATTAGGAAGAGGGTGCTGGAAAACCATTTAGCTGTTTAATTTTGGTTTTAAACTTAAATGTACATTAAGGCCTAGTCCACATGTAGCCGGGTTTTTAAAACGAATATCCGCCCCTCCAAAAACTTGCATCCACACCACCTCGTTTAAAAAAAAAAATTCTGTACACGCGTACCCGGATAAATACGTTGTTAAGGACATGCCAGACCTGTAGGCGGCAGTACTTCCCCCGTTCTTAACCTCGTCCTTCGTCTGTGGTCTTCCGCAAGGAGCAGTAATTCCGCTTGCAAAAACAAACAAGCAAAAAGCGCTTGGACAATTGATAAAGCGAGCGCAGCTCTGAGGGCATCCATGCTGTCGGCTAGTGTAAACACAGGTCGCACACGTGATGTCAGCATTTTTTTGTCGCGGAAAGTGACGTTGCGGACCTTAAAACTCCGGTTTTGTCTGTCCACACGCAGACACCCAAAACGGAGAAAACGCAGATCTTCACTTTGGCCGGAGTTTTTAAAAAGATCCATTTTCGTGTGAAAAAACTCTACGTTTTGGCAGATCCCCGGCTACGCGTGGACAGGGCCTAAGTAAGAATTATACAGTAATAATATCAAATAATCCCAGAACAGTCTAATGCCTTAACCATGTTGGAAGGAAAGTTACACTGAAAGAGATTTGTTTCTTAGCCGGCTGGCCGGGGGTTTGTCGGTTTCTCTCATTTCAAAAAGGCCAAAGAGGGATAGTCTTTGTTTACAATCTGTGAGCCTACAGGGTTGCAGTTTGTGCCAGCTAACACTGCAGTGCCAGGATTTATAATCTGACACAAGGCAGCAAAATGTAGCAGTGTTTTGTAAAGATCCTAATCCTGTAACAGAAGCGACCCAGAAGTTATTTCTTGTACCCCCTAAGTAGCCGTGGTATCTTTTAATTTTTTTCTAGTTTTGGGTGAAGCAGGCTAGAGGCTAACGTTAAGCTAACATTGCTAACGGTGAATTAGAAGCAAATAGTCTACTCTAAAAATATTTCAAGCTACTTTTTAAATTACAAAGAACTTGATGTTAATGTGAGAGGTATTTATCTACTTGTTAATTTACTTTGTATGACTTGGCTTTGCTCATCTTCTGGCGCTGAGCTGTAGCTGGCAAAAGCCATGAAACTCACAGGAGGGAGAAAGTCACTCATCTGTTTTGAAAATGGACTGCAGTGATCAAATTTGACCACAGGATGTTATTTTAACATCATGCACCTTTAACAAAAATGTTGCTGTCACTGGAAGCTTTTGTCATCATTTATTTAAAGCCTGATTTGCTGAATGTGATATCTGCAGGTGACATTAACAACACTGTACAACAGACTGAAGTTGGATTCAGATTCTTTGTTATTCAGTTACCTATTATAGCCATAGAAGAATAAATACATTATTAATTAATTAATGAACACCTAATATTTGTTGCTGCAGGGACACAGTTCATCAGCCTCACGGGAAAATGTTTCTCAATGTTGTTGTTAAAGCCTTAGGGTTGTTCAATCTTCTGCCTGAAGAAAAGAGGATGAGATTGATGGATGGGGTCATGTTTTTGTTCTGGTTTTTAATCTGCTAATATATACAAAAAGTTCATTTTATTATTTACTTGTTTAAAATATGGCGACTTTGATCAAAAATGGCTTTCATCTGTGTTTGCAAACGAGCTCTTGAATGCTCCATAGGGAATGAGGTTGGTCATATTTGGAGCAGATCAAATCACGTTTTACAGCATAAAAGTGATTATTATTTTTGTCACATTTAACACTGGTTCTTTGGATATACCAACCTTTTTTAAACACTGATTTTCAGTGAACCAGCTTTTAATCAGAATTATGATTTCAAAGTTTACTTTTCTTCTCAGCACCTATGTACCCTACAACAGCTAATAATTAAAATTGTGAATTATAAATTATATTATACACACACATCTACCTATCTATTAAAATGATCACCAGAATTCAAGTACTCGTGTCTTCCACCATCAATCAATTTTTGATTGCATCATAATTTATCATTTTCAGCAGCTATAATTGTTTCCACATTATTTTAATAAACTAGGAAGTAAAGATATGAATAAAAACCCAGATCTATTTCCCTTTTAGTTTCCAGATAAAGAGCAGATTCATTTGTCAACGATCCCCCGTGTTCACGTCTTTTTGTACCTACGGAACTCGGATCTGCGGTTCCTATTTACCCCTGCAGCAGGTTACAGGCTGCAGACTCAGAGCCACCGATGCACAGGCACCCCTCACTGACCTGATAACATTTATAGTTGTAATGGATTTTTTTATGCCCATCATTAACTCTCAGTGAGATTGGAGAAAGAAATAGCTTGTACCCTTTTTTCTGTGGTATTTCAACTTTATAGCATTATGTTCAGATATGTCACCTTCCATCAAACCATTTTAAGGCCTCTCCTTTCACTGGTTTTGTTTAAAACATGGAGGAACATTGTAGCATCAAGAACTAATAATATTTAATAATGTGGGTAAAAGCTCGGAAGGACATAATTTCTTTCTAATTATTGGCTCTGTCTCTGCCAGAGCTTCAGGGGTGATTTAGGAGACTACTTAGCTAATGTAGACAATTTATTTGAAGCTGGTTTGAATCAAATCATTTCGTAATGTGGTAATAAAAGTGATATTCTCTTCAGCCGTCTGATAAATGGGATTCATTTTCACAAAAACCATGTTTGTACAAAATAACTTTAATTATGTCTCAAAATGCAAAAAGTAGAAAATTGTCACAAATGAAAGTTTTTATGAGTACAAATTGTTCCACAGACAGATTTTAGTTCAGATCATCGTGTTAATCTGAGTGTTGATGCCAATGTTAATCTGAGTGTTGATGCCAACGCTGCCAACAAGATGGGGCAATGACACACTACGCACGCACGCACGCACACGCACGCACGCACGCACGCACGCACGCACGCACACACACACACACACACACACACACACACACACACACACACACACACACACACAATAGTGTGTCAATTGTCTGCCTGGAGCTCTTACAACGATCTCCTTAATAGGCATTTATTTCTTTATTTGACAGAAAACCTGATAAGAGTAACCATCTTGTGGGCTTTAAATGAATAAAATCGTGTTTAGTTGTTTTTCTTCTGCCTTTTTCTACTCGGCAACTTGCTGAACTGAAGAATGTTGAAATGTATAAATGTTCCCAAGAAATGGAGGAAGGCGATTGTAGACACTAGAACAGGAAACAGGTCCGGCAGATGTCTCGGGGGCTCCAGCGCTACGCTCAGAATGCTCAAACCGGCCATCGCAGCAATGCTGATGTAGAACTGTAACACACACACACACACACACACACACACACACACACACACACACACACACACACACACACACACACACACACACACACACACACACAGAGAGAACAGCTTTCAGATAGTTCAAATAAAATCAGAGTGATGAAGAATGGGTTCATTACATAACAAATTATTGTGGTATTTATGTTGATAATTTCTTACATTTATAAAAATTATCACATTTTATGTAAAAAAAATATTGAAACTTATAAGTCAGAACTCTAGTCCTAAGTGTACTTCGCCTCAATGTCAAATTTCCAGATAATTCACACTTTTACCATGTTTTTGGGTTAAAAAAACCATAAAGAAACTGGATTTAGCTGAACAAATTTACCCCTAAAAACTTGAGTAACCTGATCCGACAGTGCATCTAATAGGATGATGACGTCATAATTCTAGTGACCAATCACGGCTGTTTTTGTGGACTTGAGCTGCTTTAATTAGTAATTTCACATTTTTTATCAGAAATTCTCTCATTGAAATAATGAAAAGGTCCATCACTCCAGGCTACGGACAAACTGTTGGCATTTCTCCCTACACTTAGTAGCAACCATATTATGAAACCAGTGAATGATTAAACGAATAAAGTCTCTGACATCACACCGCTCATGAAAAAGGGCCCTTAAAACAGTCAGGCTTTCAATTATTCACATTAGAATCAATTAAAATCTTTACGTAAGCGCACCCAGCTCTTAGTGGTTAATCACAGGCTGGACGAGGACTGAGATCACTCATGTTTTTGTGCTTTATGACCCAGAAGACTGCGTTTTATTCTGAAGGAAACATCTCAGGTCTACGTTAGCCCCAAACCCATGAAACCTGATCATCATAATCGGGGCTCACTATTTATGCTGCTTGTGTAAATAAATATACCTAGACAAACCTGTGTTAATGACACGTGCTATAAAAAGACACCTCTTAATCTCTGACACCCTACCGGTGCGGCTGTCACTAAGGAGTTGGCTACTTTAGGTGCTGTGGAAACTGAAATGAGTAATAATTTGATGGCTGGCATCAGCGTTCGTCCCAGGACAGCTTACACCAACCAGCACGTGATATTTATTTATACAGCTGGATAGATGTTCTGACAAGGGTGTAATTTAGGTCTAGAGCCACTCTGAAGATACAGAGATCATCTACTGTTGACAAATTTAGAGGTACGTTTTCACAAATTCAGATTATTCACCTCTTTCACATTAGGCTGTGAATTTTCCCAGTCAGAGCTTTAATGTACTTGTATCTACTGTTTGTATCTACTTTTGTACTTTTGTATACTGTATTACAACCTTTATCTGTATTAAAGTTCTAAAGTCACCTGAATGACTGGAGATGATATTCATGAGCTACCAATTGGAAGTGCAGCCATGCAGAACATTGGAAATGGTTAAAACGACTTTAAAATGGCATCTTGTTAATTTATGAGTTTATATTTAAAAATCTCGCTCACTGAGAAGTCGAGTTACTCTGCAACTTCATTCTACAGCCTTTACTGCCTGCATTAGCGGCAGAAAGGAAAGACTGGAAAATGACTGGGTCAGAAAAACTAGCCTGGCCCACCCACCTTCGCTTGCCGAGCACGTCTCAGCTAGTAGAGGCTAACCATTAGCAACTCTACAACAAGGAAAAACACACTCAGGCTTAGGTTGTCTGTGGCGATAGAACACCAGCGTTGTACTTTCTTTACTTAAGAAGAGCAAATGAAGACAGTAGAAGACTGGTGTTGCTCTTAGCCAATCAGAGGTGAGGTATTTGCTTATCGTGAATATTAATGAGTAAGACTCCTAAACGTGTCGTTTTCCGCCCCCTCTCACTCCTGCAACAAACTTTAATCCCATTAATAGGAGTGCCTGAGCTTTTTACACAGAAAATGACTCACTATGCATTCATTTTTACTTGAAACCACAGCAGATTAATTGCAAAAAAAAAGTTATGGGACCTTTAATCTTTATCTTTACTGCTTCAAGAAAAACATTGTTTTTTTTCATATTTCAATTTAATTTTATGCTAGAGCGACATTTAGTGTGTGGAGGTTGTCATTGCAACAATAGATAAAGTTATCCAACCGTCGGGGTACCAGGTTAGCTGCTGATGTGTGAAGTGACCGGCCAGCACTGTGTCCAGTGACGTATAGTACAGGGTAAAGACTTATTTCTGCTAATACGATGATTTTACAACAGTAGTTAACGTTAAAACATCTTGTGGGCTCAGAAGCAGCTGCTTGACTTGCAGAGTCCGCCGTTTTCCGCAGGGCCAGCCTCGCTGTGCCAAGCAGACAGTTTACGGTATTTGGCAAACCGCAATGGTGCCCTCTATTGGCTGGTAGATGTAAATATAAACCCGGTGTCATGCCCGTCAAAATAAATATTTGATTCTTTTTATAACCATCCCACTGTCTTACTGGGTGACCCCGCCAGGAAAGTCGACCATTGAGCAGGATTGATGGTTTATCCCTTGGGTCCATGTGGCAGGGGTGAGGTGGTGCTCACTGCTTTCTGAACGAAGACGGAATAGTAGATCATAATCTCCGGCTGCAAAATGAGCAGAAACGGAACGTGCTACCGTACGCAGTGATCACTTCATCACAGGTAAAGGTTTACTAAAGTTTTTTTATGGTGTTTTATTGAACAGCTTAGAAACGCAGCTACAAAAACAGCAGGTAAACAGTTTGATACTGTTTGCATGTGTCCTCACCGCAAATAGCTTGTAGAGTGCTAATGTTTTTAGCAGTTAGCTCAGTGTTGTAACGTGGAACTGCGGCGTGTTAGTGTGTCCACAGGTGACACAAATGTGTAAGCAGTGTGGAAGTTAATAAAGGAACGGCCCACTTTCCCTCCAGTTGTTGGCAGAAGGATGGATGAGTGTCACAGTGAGTGGCAGTGACAGAGATGTTTGTTTGTTAAGAAGGCGCTGAGGAAAAAGTGCTGGGAGCAGTCTGTATGTTGGTGTTTTTTATGCTTACTTGCCACCATCCACCTCACCGCTAGCCGCTGAAGGTAAAGCGACTCTGTTAACACGGAGGATGAGGATTAAACAGTTGGAAGATTATATTTTTTACTTCAAACCAAACGAGACACAAACGGTTAAACTTTGGAGCAGTAAGGTGTCTGTTGCCTTTTGTTGTGAATCAATAACCTAATTATCACTAAGTGATTATAATGCACTGCCGGCATGTTTGCTACGTTTGGTACCATACTGGGATTTAGCCTGAAACAATGGTGTTTGTTGTAAATGATCTATATGAATATGTACGTAGTTTATTTTGCTCAAATTGAGGCCTGCCTCTAAGTCTGGCCTCCCTCCAATAAAGGCCTGCACCAGGATGCACTTGAGTAAAAAAAAATGCCTGGGCCTGTATTAGAGGATTTACCTCATTTATCAAGCATGCTTACGCACAAAACGAGGTCGTAAAACTGAGTAAACAACTTTCCACGCAAACTTTGGGATTTATAAAAGAAGACGTAGAGGAAAAATGTGTACAACTTTAAGTTGACTAAGGACCTGGCTTACGCACGTTTTGGACATGGAGAGCACCTGCAGTGCTGCCGCTGAGAAGGATAAAATTATGAATTCCAGCAGCACTATAACTTGTACCACTTCGTGTTCACAGAACAAGCCCCCCACACGCACACTAACGAGCGCGCACACACACACACACACACACATGCACACACAGCCTGATGCGCAGAATATGGAATGCTGAATATCAGCAGGGGGGCAGAATGAGACAGAATGTTATGCGTCTGTGACAGTGTGAGCGTCCTGTCACTGTGACCCAATTGATCAGACGTGCTAGCTACTTGGCTTTTGGTTAGTGTGCGTGACTCTCACCCGGGAGTCTGGGGATCGAATCCCGATCGGACCATTTTTTTTAATATCCGCCACAGATCTCTCTGAAGAACTCTCAACATTGACGGCTTCAGCAACGCTGTGCCACTCCGTGGATTTTCTCTTATTTGTTTTGCAAAAGCACTTCCTTTCATTTCTCCACCTCACCCACAGGTACCTCAATTTCTGCTTGTGAAATAGCGCTTCCTTGATCTGCAGTCTCAATCAAAATGCTGCAACAGCCGGCTTATGTATATGAATGAGACCCACAAGGCACTTTGCATTGACCATTTATGGCAGAAAGTGGGCGTGGTGTGGGCGGGATGTGACTATAAAGCAGCTGAGAATGTTTCTAGATAGTTTCTGATTTATGAAGGGGAGATTGCGTGCAGCTGTGCGTACTCCATGTTTGATAGGTCACAAACCTTCTTGGCGTTAGTACATTTTTTATGCTGAGCTTCAGTACGGCTTTAGTAAGGATTCTACGCTATGTTTTATAAATGAGACCCCTGGTGTTTAAAAATACTAAATCAAGGGAAGCAGGCGTGGTTTTGGAGTCACGTGACACATTACGTACCTCGAGGGAAACTTAGAGGAAGATGTGCTTGACTTGAAACTCAAAAATTAGAGAAAAGAAATTATTTTTATGGAAACATGTTTGATGTAATATGTCAGGGGACAAGTTTCTGTCAAAATATATTTAAATAAGAAACGCTCTTACCAGTCTGTGCATTTTGAAGTTCCCACACTTCAGCAGCTCTTCTTTCACCTTTTAAATTAATTATCCCAGTTTAGCCTGATCCCATCAACTCTTGCTGCTGGCTCAAAACTGTATAGCTGTGCACCTTCAATATTTAACATAAATGTATATTTATATTCAGAATCTGGAGCTTCTTGCTGCTGCTGCAAATCCTTTTTTTTTCTGAGCAGAATCAGGATTGGTTTCCTTGAGCGACGTCACTTCTGGTTTCCAACAAGAGGTGCTGTTTTAAGACTGATGGGCTAGGAGAGCCTAGTTGGAACAGTAATAGCACTTTTCTTTCTCAAATATCTTCCTTTGTTAAATGAAAATATAAAGTTTAGACCTGTTACAATATAAGGGCTTCAAGGTGTGTTTAACGTGGAAGGCGCCCTTTAAAGGGTTAATAATGTTGGTGAAAAGAATCTGTGACAATGAATCACGATTTTAATCAATGGAGATTAAATTTGTGTGAATTGACAGAGCAGATAGTATCTAACGTAAAATAATTTGTATGAAACACTTGGAAATATATTCAAATGTACATCAGTTAGGGTCTATAATGTTCACAAAAGCTGGAAATAAAAGTTGTGCTGTGATTCCTATTTCTGATTGTACGCATCTCTAGCGAGGAGCTGAAAAGGCCTCAGGATGTGGCTCTTACTTCATGGGTCACACTAACCTTCCATCTCACAATACAGGCCAGGTCCATTTTGGGATGACAGAACAGAAGTTTCTTGTAGGTGCAGAGTTCCATCTCTTCCTCTGAGCAGTGATCCAGCACGGACAGTAAGCAGATGCTGAGGAGCAGGAAAGCTGCTGAGGTCACAGCGTAGGGTACCAGCAGGCCGTCTTTCAGGAAAAGAGGCAGCATGCTGCACAGAAGCACACGATGCAGCATTTTTCATCTGTCGTTTCTTTGAGCAGAAATAATATTTTTGCTTTTTTTAGCTCTAATATACAATGCACAGATGGAGGTTTAGGACTTATAATGAAGTGAGTTTTAAAGGAGGGGTAGGAGATGTGTTTCTGGAGCATTATTTGCCATAATGATTGAAATGATGGCTACCAGGAAATTGAATATTTTGTCAACAAAATAAATAATTCTAATTGGAATTACTGAAATCTCGTCCAATCAAGTAAAAGTTTCTGTATTTCATGATTGTATGATGATCCTGATCCATCCGTAAAACTTCCTTCTGATCATTTCCCCCGGGTAGAAAAGGTAAGATGTTGTGTTTTTATGGATGACAGCATCCATTACATCGGGCTTTCTCCTGTATTCTGGAGGCGTGGCTTAGTGGGAGGGGCCTGAAGAAAGGGGGTTGGACATTCGAATTGTGTTTTTTCAAAATGTAACGACTTTTTCCAGGATCATCTACCTTACCTTTACAAGACCATCGTATAAGAAATTGTTTCAGATATTTTCAGCAGAACAATGTTCAGGTCATGTTTGATGTAATAAAGTAAATAGTAAATAACGCACTTTCCTCCTGCAGGCCTCAACAAGCGATCCAATCCCCTTGAGAGAAATGGCTATGGCTTTCACACATAGCTCATCTCAGTTTAGAAGAGGCAGAAGCAAGAACAACAGTTGGCTTATAGTAAAAACACAACACCCCTTCTTACAAAAACCTTTTCACCCACAAAAACTACTTATTCAAACAAAAAAGTCCCATTCATTTGATAAATGCTTCACATTTAAGAAATACATATTTCCTCATTTTACACTGACTGGCTTCATTCACCGGGAAAACGGCCACTGCTCGAGCATTCGCTCGGCCAATTATGTAAACAAAAGATGTATTTTCTTAAACGACACAAGTCTGTGAAGGATGCAGATAATGTGCAAGTCCAAGTCAGACTGTATAGTGGGAATCAGCTACAGAAGGACCTCCTGTCCCTACACAACACACTTAGACAACAGGCATGCAGACTATGCTGCGTAAGCCGCAGATATCCTTATACTAAACCACACGCACAGCAATTAGGACTGTCGGAAGAATTTAACAACAGCTGGGGAGAGTTCGGTGAAGCATTTGTGCCCAGCTTAAACCACATCACTCAGGGGTTTTTAGGGGAGATTTGTGTGGTTTATCTCCCTTAAAGGTTGGTGATACTTACAAAAAATATATATTTTTGTTTTTAATTGAGGCGCTAACAGAAAAATGGATTTTATGCATAAGGCCATGTCCTAAGTGGCATTACTTGCAGAGTTTACACTGATAAATGGAAGTTGAGCTATTTTGAGCATTTATATAAAAACCAAAGATTGTTGGTGAGTTGGAAGCAGTCTTAAATGACTTATTCCTAGTTTTCTATTTTCCTTTTATGTTCTCAATCATCCCCCCCCCCCCCCAATAGAAGTCTTACGTAGCCTAGAAATCTAGATAGACCCTGACCCTAACCCTAGGTGGGTCTACCATTGGCCTGAGCAGCGTTGTGCTATTGGTGTGCGACGGAGAAGAACATCTAAGATGGCGACAGCTTATTTTAAACAACTTTTGAATCAACTTTGAACTATTTAGCCTTGGGCTTTTCTTTGGGTCAGGAGCAGATAGAGGTACTTAAGTCCTTTATTTAGGAAAAGGATGTATTTGTGTCGTCTTCAACAGTGTATGTGGACTGGCCCGTTGACTGACATCCATAACGGTGAGTACGCCACATTGTTCATTGTTCAATAGCATGTGGAAACAGTTTGAAAGATGGCCCTAAATCTCGCCCCACGACTGAGATCTGCCTACTGGACATTGGCAGACTATATATTCACGTATATAGGATGGCTCGCAAGGCTAGGTTTTAGATGGAATTTGCCAGCTAGACACCATAATGGAAAAAATAAATAGTGCTGCCATGGCACATCAGTTGTTCAGCTCATAATTTAGTTTCTCTAAGTTTTTATCCAGTCTTCTTACCTGAAAGTAGAAGCCTGCAGGAACCAAGCACTCGTAAATGGGAGGTCATTCAAAAGGAGGCAAATGGGTCTGGAAAAAGTACAGATAAATGTCTGTTAAACATATTTAATGTGAGACATTTTAAAACATCAAGACAGGAAGTGAAATCATGATGGATCAGAGATACAATCTATCCAACTATTTGTCCTGGTGGAACAGCGATAAACCCAATATTAGAGAGTGTATGTGTGCATAAATGTGCCGTTAATTACCTACATCAGCACTAGATCTACTCTCGTTCTAAAACCGGTCCTTTCCATCAGTCCCCAGCCCATAATTACAGTCAGCGCTCTTCAGCAATCCAGTTCCAGCCCAGTAACTGATTCCATGCAAACAACACTGCAAACAGTAGCCTCCTATTCTCTCCTCATCATCTCTGGACGAGGGTTGTTGATTGATTTAGGGAGACAAGTGGGGAATAAAACTCAATAGTTAATAAAGCAACAATCTAATCCAGACTAATAGATCCAGGAACCAGATCCAGGCCTATCCCTGGCTTCACTTGCTTTACAAAGAAAAATGTTCTACACACATTCGCACACCTTTACGAGCACATGTGCAGGCTTTGTGTTTAACACATGACCCAAGTGTCCATTAACACACTGCATATCATGACAATAGGAGCAGGGCTTGTGGTGCGTGGCTCTAAATGTAACGACAGGGGTGAGTAACCTTTCTGTTAGTCTTGATCTAAATAGAACCGTTACTCTGCAGCTCTGTGACAACAGCAGAGGGGTTGATGTCACGTTTACCAGGTGCAAACACACACACGCACGCATGTACACAAACACACACTCTTAAATACCATCTGCAAGGCAAAATCTCAGGTTTGGAGTTGGGATAAGCTGACTGGCTCTTTGGGAGTCCTTTTAAAATATACATCCATGAATATTAGCAATTATTTTAAACTTACAGAGCAACCAATAGGATGGACTTCTCGTGGACTTGATAGGAGAAGAGGAAAAAGGCCAGTGATGAGTTGACCTAAGAGCAAAGAGTAAAAAAAAAACATTTACAAGGGAAGGTGATTAAAAATGGGTATGAACAAGATATTGTTATGATGAAAAACCTCTAAAACACCTTGCAATACTGTTATTGTCTCCCGTTTCTGAAAGTTTTACTGGACCTAAAGGCTAACCCGTATTTCTCATACTTTATTCCAAAATCCCGTGAGAAAAACTTAATGTACTCCACTTGTCTTCCCCAACTTGTTTGAAATGTTCTAATGTAATCTTTGTTTTGCACACAAAAGATACTACTGTGAGTAAATGATACAGCGATAAGTGCCAGTAACGTAAGCTCTGCCGTGTAATGTTCTCACAAATAAAATAAATGTTAAAAAAAAAAAGATAAACCTCAAAAACAAATTCTAACTGATCATTTCTGGGATTTATTAAGAGACTTGTCTTTTTTAAAAGAAGAGTCTGTAGTTTTCACACCACACACTCACCAGAGCCAGTTTAAAGTTCCAGAAGGTGGGTTTGGTCAGAAGCCGGATAGAGGAGGGTAGAACTGCCAGGATAGTGAGGGCAAAGCTGGAACGAGAAGGGAAAAAAGGTGTTACGGCAAAAGAAAAAGAAAATCATCTGTGTAGTGGGAGGGGGTGTTGCTTTTTCAGTCCCGACAGGTCTATGAGCAAAACTTTTAAAGAAAACACATAAAACAATGGAAATGCTGCTTGATTTAGATGTCACGCAAGTCTAACCACGGTCAATGTCGTCTTGTGACCTTGTTCTTTACTTCTGCTCTGCACAAGACAGAACAAATAATAATCATTCCTAAGGTCAGCAGGCATTAGTTTAACCTCTCAATTGTCACCATGCTGGAGGCTGAGGCAGCAGGAGAGACTGACCGTGTGTCCGAGTGAATGTGCATAAATGTGCAAAGAGGTCAGGGATTAGTGACGTGTGAGGGCCTCAATGTGTTCGAACTAAAGTGGAAGCAGACTGACAGATGCAGCTAAAGACAAGAAAAAACAGGGCAAGAATATGAAGGAGTGTGTGTGTGTGTGTGTGTGTGTGTGTGTGTGTGTGTGTGTGTGTGTGTGTGTGTGTGTAGGGTTTTCACAGCTGATTCATTTTATGTACAGTCCAGCCTCAGTGCCAAAAACACAAGAGTGTTCTTCGTTTGTTTGCAGAGCACTGCAGTAAGAGAAGTCCCACTTGATCCCAGGAATTAGCAGTCTGACAGAAACGTGTCTGTGCTGCAAACACAAGACTCCTAAAATTAGCCAGCTGGGTCATTTAAGCAGGACCCACCATGACACAACTGTTGCATTTCGCCTTTCTAACTTTAACAGCACCAGATCTCAGGTTTTAGCAATTTAAAAAAAAAGGTTATTTATCGCAAATCTATTGTCTTATATCAACTTATTGTGATTTGAGTCTTGAAAAAGGTTTGCTGCTCCTTTTTATACTTCAACATCTCAGAGTAACGTGTCTGGAAGCTCCTCGTGAGACATTTCTGCGAAGGGTGATATTATTCGCCTCACTGATGTTCAGCTTTGATCCGAAAGAAAAACAGCACTTTCCTGGTAAATGTGAATTCGAATTAGGAGAAAATGGGAGGTGGGGAGAGGTGGGGGTGTAATCAAAAACAAAGAAGGATTGATAAAAGATGGAGAAGAAGAACAAAGTTGTTTAACTTAGAGGAGGATTACCTGAGGTAAAGCTGAAAGTCGCCTGACAGAATGGATCTGATCTTTATCAGGGTGTTCAAGCTGCACCATGTGTTGGCCACCTTATCCTACACACACACACACACACACACACACACACACACACACACACACACACACACACACACACACACACACGGTTTTGAACTCAGTAATTTGTCACTGCAAAGACGGTTTTGATTTCATTTCAAAACAATAAATAAGTTGCTTAGTTGCAAATATAAATTTATTTCAGCGCTGAAAACCAATTTGTCTTGGACCTGAGGGACATTTGTATGTAAACACAGACCATAATGTATCCACTGACAGAAAAAGCAAATAACTAACTCACTTGATTAATAATAATTCATAATAATACAAAGAATCAAGTGTCGTTTTAACTAGGGATGTGTATTAGTGAAATTCTGGAGATCCGATACGTATCACGATACGTATCACGATATATCAGTCAGACAATATTAGCAATTTTTTTAGACTGAATTTATTGTAGAAAAATTCAATGAACAGTCCAAACTGGTACTTAACATGTCTAACACGAGGTATCGGAACTACAATAGAGGGATTTACAATGGTGGGAACAAAACCCATTGCACACTGCTGCCAGTGGTCTGCATTTGAATTGCACTAAAAGAAAAAAAAACACAAACGTTTGCATGTAAATTCTTTCTAAAGTTCGATACACAGCTTTTGAATATCGAGATATCGCAGGAAAAAAATGACAAAATATTGCCATGGGTTGATATACCCACAGACGTGAATACGTAGACGCCCCATTGTGCACTAGAGAGCGTAACAATGTCGCCGCCATATTGGGTGTGTTCCTCACTCACCAAACCCAACTGCAGTCAACGCAGAGTGGCCAACTATACCCGGTTTTTGAACAGCCAACAACCAGTGTGCTATTGAAAACAGATCACACGGGACTACTATTAATTTTTATAGCCTATATGTTGGGATTTTATCATTTAAACTGTTTTGTTTAATTAAGCTCAAACTTTTTATTTGATCATTTAAACTGTTTTGTTTAAGTAAGCTCAAACTTTAATTATATTATCATTCCATACTAAATGTCTGACTTTGTGAAAAGCTAAATAAAATTAGCTTTTTAGTTGTGTAAATATGGTGCCCGTCTAGTGACATTGAGGGAAAAAAAATAACTCGTGGCCACCAGATACTTAAGGCGTGGCCACAAGCTAACCCCCCCCCCCCCCCCCTTTATGTCACCAGATGGGCACCGTAGGTAAACACCTTCCTCAGTAGAAATAAATGGACTGGGGGCAAATGGGGACCCATCCAAGATGGCGATCTGCTGCTACAACAGCTCCAATAGGCAGCACCAGTCCACGGTATGTCTACATATGTTGTCTGTAGATATACCCCTTTAGTAGTCGATCAATAGTAAGGGACATCCACCGATGTCAGGAATGATGGGTTCATTATGACGCTGCTGCTAAGTCAGCTGGTGTGTCTTAACAGGGTGCTATTGTCTTTTCAGCTATATTTTGATTTATTTTATATGGTTAAATTATATTTTTATTTATACTCTAAAGCTGTATTTACTTAATTATTCAGACTTTTAGAATAGTTAAAATCAGGCCCGACCCTTCCAAGACCCATCAGTGTTTTCTCAAAATCTCGTTGTGCCGCCAGAACGAAGGCAGTAAAAACTGCTGCCACCTAGCAGTGGAGGTTTGAATTGCACCACACAAAAGAAGTAGAGTTTGCATGTAAATTCCCAGTAAAAAAAAAATCAATACACTTCTGTCCATTATGTAGAAATTAAGTAAAAATGACATCCTCTGGTAAAGCGTTGTTACGTTAAACTCGGAAGCTTTTTGCTTCTGCGCTGCAGTAGACACGGCAACCCCCAACTCACTGATGGTAAGCAGTAGCTACGTCCCTCCTTCCTGTTTTGAAAGGAGAAAAACTGACAATCCCTGCAGCCAACTGAAACATGTTTCAGTATAACCTTCATTCCAAACTGACTGAAACATTAGACTCTTTTTGGGATTTTCTCACTGTAAAATTCTCACTATATTCTTACATACTGCACCTTTAAGGATAGATTCAGTATCACAACAACAAAAAAATAATAATCACAATATAATCAATATTTTCTTATTCTACACTCCTTGTAATAAAATTGCATTGAAATTGTGGAAAAACACTTAAAATTCTTATGAGACCTAGAAAATAAATCAAACTTGTTTTTATAACAGCTGAATTGTAGTTGCTGAGGAGGAGGCGGGGTGCTTTGGCGGATGCAAACGGATCACTTATATTAAGACCCAAGCCACCAGTGTGGCCATGATATCACACACCACACACGTCTAGATCAGCTTCATAATTCCTGTGGCTGTTTTAAGTATGACCCTATCTAGAAAATCTATTTCTGCCCCCCACCCCTCCTCTCTTTGCTCCACCTGCTTACTGCACAACTACGTGGATCTTAATGGCAGCCCAGTCAGCAGCACCGAGCCATGTTATCTCAGCCCCGTCCATGTCGTTTTTCCTCTCTGCTTCTTTATTTCAAACAGCTAAACTACCAGAATGTTCCTGGACATCGCCTGAAGGCAACACTCAAATGAGGGAGGGGTTTGTCCATTTGGCCGATGCGAGACCTCGGGGGCTTGTTCACCTAGAAGCCAGAAAGGAATTTCACAGGGAGAGGCGTTTGGTGCCATTTTTTGTGAGCAGGCAGCAACATGAGACGGCAGAATGCGGTCCGGTGGGTAAACTTACAACTGCTGCCTCCCAGAAGTCGCCGAGATCACCAGTCAGCAGCCCTGTTCTTCACAGCCAACCCTTTCAGCCCGTCCTCTCGTCCAGTCTGCTTGCGTCCACAGTTCTCTCATCAAAACAGAGTGTAGTGTTCCTCACACCCTGTGTATTTAGTTTGAATCAATTTGTCGAACAAACACCGTCCTGACGCATGTTGCCACCTTAATTGCTCCTCTCATCCATTACACCTTGTAGAAGGTGCCACCTGGAAGTTCCTGGGTTTCAGAGACCAGAGCTCCGAGTCATCAATCACACATTTAAACAGAATAATAAGAAGTCACTTAACAACTCTTCAGGACAGTGTTCTTGTTTGCTTTTCCTAATTTCTGTAAAAATAGTAACACATTTCAGTCACCTAGTAATAAATAACATGAAATAGGAGTGTGAGAAACAGCCAAACACACGTATTATGTTGTGTTTTCCTTCTAAAGATGTAACAGGCAGCAGGGAAACAGTTGTCCAGTGTGCTCCGATATGCCTTTAAGTGTATCACTGGCCCCACTCATCAGCCCATGTGGCTTCAGCATAACTGTGCTGCGAAGTGCTGAAAACAAGCCGGCCATAAATTAGTCCGATTTATCTGTATCCTCCTACTGTACATCATAGATCCCAACACCTCCCAGGGATAGGCTGAAAGCGATCTCTTGACCTTTCACCATTTTATTCCACTGTTTTCTTTGATCCAGCGGGGTATCCATTTCCAGCCAGCTAAGCACCAGAGGCTGGAAGGGTATTCACCACGCAGAGGGACGGGAACGACGAGTGCTTCGCGGGTTACGGATGACGTCAATTAAAGCATCAGTCATAGCTTGTTGAAAACCATTAAACAGGAGTTTAGGCTGGAAAATGAAACGCCGCACGTTAGAAAGCAACGACTCATCACTGATCTGGGACAAGCTGAAAAGTAAAATTAAATAAAGCATTTTACCATCTTGTGGATTGAATTTGTGGTGATGCTTTCCCTTCACATGCAGATATTAAAGAGGTTCAAAACATGAAAACAAAGTATTATTCTCTAGCAAATGCATTTATAGATCAGACATGTACTCTGAGCTACTGGAGCGAGTTTCCAACATCTTTTATTTTACGACTAAGTGACAAAATCTCAGCTGCCCCACATTTTGTAAAACAAAAATCCCAAGACTGGTATCATTTGTTTTTTTTTACTTTATTTATAATCACAATAATGTATATAATTTATTGACGCACATATGTGCATCATTCTGTAGATTTCCACTAAAGAAATGTATAATTTTCTTTCCTTAACAGAATGGACTCTTAGGGAGCGCACAGTGTATTCTACATTTTATTTCAATAGAAATGAAGAAATGTGATTGTTTAATTTATTATTTGAGTTATCAGACCTCCATCTTAGTGTCTTTAAATGTATTTTGGCCATGCCCACCTACTTAAATGCAGTAATGGTTTTCCATAAGACTGCAGTGTTGTGAGTTTTCACGAGCCTACAGAATTCATATGAGCATCAGCAGTGATGCTCATAAACATTTAGATGGGCTTAAACTGTGATGCTGTTGGGTTAAAATGCAGGAGTCTGACCTGTTATGCAGAGACAATAATCCTGACACACTGACTTAAAAACATTCGTCTTAAACAGTGTTCAGATCAAACATGTTAAAAACCGTCATTTCTTTCCTTTATCTGCCCAAAAGCATGACTTTTTCAGGAAGCACACGGATAAGACACGTGTTAATATTTTATATTTAAAAGTCGCAACGTTGGGTTGTCACGCGTAGTAGCGTCAATGAGAGGCTGAGTGCTGTGCGTTCCCGCGACAGGGAAGCACTGAGCTGTGCTGAAGTTCGCTTCCAACCCACATAAGGAATCCACACGAATAAAGTGGTTAATGCTTTCTGTGTGGGTGGGGAGCCAGCTTCACTCAACTGCTGAGTCTGGTCTGAGCAGAGGACACAGACAGCAGCGCTGACAGAGTTATAACGTTCGGGAGACGGGCAGGAACGTCCATTTTGAGCATAGATTTCGTCTAGTCTCGGCTCGTTAACGAGAACTTCCGTTTGTCTCGTCACGGAAAGGCTGCTGTTGGTTTAGCATCCAGAAAACAGCAGAGAACGCCTCGGCTAGCAGAAGCTAATCGTTAGCATTAGCAACTCCACCATACAGCTGAACTCCTCCAGGCTCCTTGTAGGGATAAAATATCAGCATTGCACAGCAAACAAAGTCAGTGGTAGAGTCCGTTGCTGTTATCCAGTCAGAGGAGAGATGTCTAAATTTCAGGACAGAAGACTACAAATCATGTTTGAAGCTAATTTCTCAACCAGCTGACTTCTACATCCTCAAACAGGCACAACAGAGAACGGCTCACAAGGCATTCATTTGCAGAAACCGCTGCAAACGTGTTAAAGATAGGAGTAAAGTTGACCAACAGGGTTATTAATAGAACAAATTTATGTTTTTTGTACATGTTCTGTTTCTTTTGAAGGAATCAGCTTAAAGTAAGCTATGTAAGGGGCTTTTTGGTACATTAGACACTCCAAGCTGCCTTTACTCAACAAGGTAAATGTGGTTCTGAATTATATTACCCTTTAGAAAATAACTAAATTATAATATATTACATAGATGCCTGCAAAGTAAAAGAAAAACTTTTTCCGCAGTTTAAAAATCTGCACATTACCTCAAACAGACCACGACCCACGGGAAAAATCCTCCTGACCACCTGCAAGGCTTGGCTAGGGTCGGACAGGAAGGGCAGCCAGCAGAGGGCAAAGGTCGCCAACACAGTTGCAGCAATTCTCACCAACAAGAAAAGCCTAAATGACAACAGACAAACATCTATAAGCACGAGAGGTAAAGCTGCAAAAAGGGATTACACAAAGGAATCAGATGGTCTGGAATTCAGCTGGAGCATTTTTGTTTCAGAGATTCTTCACACGGTTAGCACTAACTGTCCGCAAGTCCTAAATTTGGGATTTAACCCTCCTGCTAAGGAATGCAGTGAAAGCCATGCATCAGCTCAAACTCTTCAGCGTAGGTCAGAGTGTCTTGTCAGCTGTAGCTGTGAGGCTGCTGGTTAAGTTGCACACACAGACATAGCTGAGGAGTTTGGGCATGGTGAGAGTGTCATCTGGACATATCTTCCCCGGAGAGTCTAATCCAGCTCTCCATTTGCTTTTAAATGCCACTGGTACATTGTTACTAGATAAACAGACACTGGACACACTGGTAATAGCAGCCAGTTCGATTACCTCAGCGGCTCTCGGGAAGACACTGATCTCTCTTACACACTGATATTATTAATGTGGGCATGCGGTCGGACACGTTTATGTTCAGGGACAAAACAATGTGCTCCTAATTTATTTTACTCAGCTCATTTTTGAAGTTTTTAGCTGGAATTAGCTGAGGTGGCCCCGAGAGGCAGCAAAATTTGCTAAAAGAAAGAATTCAACCAAAGGGGGAATGGAACTCACGTGCGAAAAGCAAACACGTCTAAAATTCATAAAACAAATGAAAATTGAAAATTAAATATATTTAAAAAACAGCTCAGGGAATAAAGCTTTGATTGTTTTTTAGGAATGAATGTTGAAATGTTGGGGGGGAAAATGACAAAAATGGAAAAGAAAACCAGGAAAAATTATTTAAAAAGACAACTAAATGAAGAATAGAGCTGGTAGTTTTTAAAAACATAAACTTATCCATTTTCAGAAATATTTCTGCACTGCTCTGACGTTATACAGATTATGGTGTGTTTTTTTAATCATTTATATATATAATTGATCATCTTATTATGATATTTTCAAACATTTTATAATTTCATGACTTTGTTTTTCTGATTTTAATTTATTTAATGATATTTGCTGTTTTGTTTTTTAAATTTTATGACTTTATGTTTTGTTGATCTCTGCGAAGCTCTTTGTGCTTCTCTTTCTGTGATGAGTGCTATATAAAAACAATTTACTCACTTTACTTTACTGTTCATCTGAGTGAGTGTACTGCATTTTCTTCTTCTGACTCGGCATTAAAGTTAACAAAAACTCCTGCATTCATTTAAAATTTCCAGCACAATCCCTCTGCGGCAGCTTGGCAGCGTTCCGGCCTGTGTGGCCGTCGAGGAGCCAGCCGCATGTCCGCCTGAACACTTGTGAACAATATTTCACATGCCTTAGTGAATGTGATCTACGGCTTTTAATAACTGATGAAACGTCGATGGTGGACCACAGTCCGTCATCATTTATTCGTTGTCGGCTGTGACAGACACAAGCACATCCAGGGCTGAATGAAACAGAGATAATGAAGACAAAAGCGGATCATGCTCACCCACGCCCCATCAGGCCATCTTTTACACACTTTCCCAGCAGATAACAGAAGAAAGGCAGAGCGTGATACAGCTCCATCTGTTTGTAGTTGAGAGCCAGGGAGAAGGCCATAGAGCCCAAAGCATCCCAGCCCAGACCCAGAGCCAGGACCCCCCACAGGGCAAAGCCCAGGCTCACCCCGTTGTACCCAACTCTGTCAAGGTTCATTCATGCTATTAACATCATTACGGTAAACTACTGGTAGCTGCATAGTAACAGCAAACAAAATGTAAAAAAAACATATCGAACATGTTTTATGCTAACTGCTATGAACTGAAGAGGTCCTTCACTGAGCAACAACTAGAAATCAGCCATGAAAATTGGCAGCACATATCGGTATCGGCAATAGAAAAACCAGTACTGGTCGACCTCTAGAGTTTTTAGAACTCTGGGATGGGCTGCATGGTGGCGCAGTGGTTAGCACTGTTGCCTCGCAGCACGAAGGTTGCAGGTTCGAAACTCGGCTGCGGCCTTTCTGCGTGGAGTTGCGTGTTCTCCCCATGCATGCGTGGGTTTCCTCCGGGTACTCCGGTTTCCCCCACAGATCACAACAAGCTGATAGGTTATTAACTGTAAGTCGCTTTGGATAAAAGCATCTGCTAAATAAACATAAACATAAACTTTTAATTATTCTTCCTGATTATTATCGGTCATTCTGAGCTTGACATGCTGGCTGAACATAAAAATAGTCTCCTACGCCTATCTCCTGCATTAACTTCTAATTAGAAGAGCCTGATAGATCTACGAAACACCGTCACTTAACATTCATGTACTCACCCACCTTGACTCACGACAGGGAAGGCTGTTGTTGGTTTAACGTCCAGGAAACCGCAGAGAACGTCTTGACTAGAAGAAGCTAACGTTAGCATTAGCAACTCCTTCAGGCGTGTGCTATTAGTGCAGATAAAACATCAACGTTGCAGATCAAACAAAGTCATTGGTAGAGTCGCTTTGATGTTGTCCAATCAGAGGAGAGACGTCCAAATTTGAGGAAATAAGGCTCCAGATCCTGTCTTCTAAAGCTACTTTCTCCTCCGGCTGAATTCTCCATGCCGAAACGGGCGCATCTGAGCTTGTTCTAACCCCCCCGTACGACTTACAAGGCAGTTATCCCTACTAGGGACCACTGCGCATGAATTAAAATACGAGTGAAGGACCTCTTTAATAAAAGAAATGCTCATGTTTATAAAGGATACTGGAAATGGCCGTGGTCGATAAGAATTAGTCCGGGATAAAGAAGGAAGCAGAAAAGAGTGGAAACCTGGAAAGACAAATTCAACAAAGTTTAAGTACAAAAAACCTGGAATGATTAGAATTATGGCACGATATGGGGGCCAAAATTAAGACTGCTTCCCAGCAGCAGGAGGCTATATCAATTCTGAAGCAAACTACTGATCTGATTAATGATGAGCTGGCGCCGGTAACTGAGAGGCTGGCACTGCTTACTGAGGAATAGCACCTTTACCGGCGTTATTACTAGATGCGCTAGGGACTAGCAGCCCTCGGCTGGTCACTGACTGGTTCAAACACTCCCTCTGCTGTCTATTAGCATGGATAGGCTAGCGTTAGCCTGGACGGGCTGGTGTTAGCATTGGAGAGGCTAGCCATTAGCGTGCCTAGGCTGGCCACAGTTACTGGCGCCAGATTATCATTAATCAGATCAGTAGTTTGCTTCGGAATTGATATAGCCTCCTGCTGCTGGGAAGTAGTCTTAGTTTTGGCCCCCATATCGTGCCATATACAATTACATAACACTGTTCCATTAAGTGTCCCTACAGGCTTGTAGCATTAACTAATTAAAGATTTGATTAATTATGTGACACATTTGATGTCATTTTTAAGACACTTTAACAAACATTATATTAGAAATAAATGAAGGAATTTCCACATTTTTATCCAACGGTGAAAGAAAACTGAGAAGTTTTATTTCTTTTTCCGTGTCTAGTCACACGCTCTGACAATAACCAACGATTGGGTTACTTACTCTTTACTATAATATACTTACAGTAACCGATGCTTAGTTATTTTATGATATCAAAATTGTAAAAAAAATAAATTAAGTGAACATAGTATGTTATTAAAAGAGGAAGAATAAGTCAAGGTTTCTATGAACCGTTGGATATTTGATTATTAGTGTTACCTTCTTCTTGGAGGAGCCATCAGCCAGGTACAGACAGTACAAAACAACTGCAGGAATGTATATCAACACATCTGCTACCAAGACTGAAATACAGAGAAGCAAGCAGAGTTAGATCGATATGTGTATTAAAATGATATGAACATGTATATTTTACCTTTCCTATGCATTTTTATGCATTTGGTGCACAGAGTTTCAGCAGCAGAAAGCCACTAATACTTATTTGGTTGCTTCCCATAATTTCAGTACCAGAACTGGCAGAAACTAATGGGCCATTCCCATCTGTACCGGGTCGGCCCGGGCCAGGTAGCGTAGGTTGTTTACATATCTGGGTGGCCTGGTATTTTTCCGGGCCAACCAAGGCTCATTCTCAGCCCTCTTCTCGAGGGGGTCTGCTTCAGGCCGACCAGGGCCGACACACCCACTGCTGACAGCAAATTCACACCTTCCATTTGAGCAAGCCTCTGATTGGTGGGTAGAATCAGCCCACATGGGCTTAAGGCAAGGATGTGTGGAATCAACCGGGCCAGGCTGGGGCCGACTGGGGCTACCCGGCCCGGGCCGACCCGGTACAGATGGGAATGGCCCATAACTTGGCAAAATGCCCTTTTAATGCACTGTGGAGCTAATAATGTATTATCATGTTTCTTAACAATAGACTTGTCCAAAGTAACTGATTACAGGGAGTGTCAATGGTTTTAATTAAAACACATAATTATTTACTAGAGTGATTATAAAAAAAATAAAAACCTAACAACTGATGAGTATACATGCATTGTTTTTAATTAGTTTTTTCTTAATCACCCTACCTGTGGTTCGCATGAATAACTTATGCGCTGGACTCTCGTAACCTCTGGATCTGTGTAGCTCCACCCATTCAGGGTTTATAATCTTGGCTCTGGAAATAATAAATATAAAATGTTAAGATGTTTTATTTTTTTGGTTTGGTTTTCAACGTGAAACTGTTTTTAAACCAGAGCAATAAATAAAATAATGCTCTTTGCAAACAGTAATGGCATTTATTTTCAACATTAATCACTACTGATGTTCTGTATGTTCTTGGTTTTTAAAGTCAATCATCAGCAACAAGAACAAAATATGTCCCGCATTTGTATTGATAAACATTGCTCCGTCAAATTAAAAATTAATAGCTGCACACAAGCCACATTTACAGTAAACATCAGTGAGGGTTTGTGGTCTTATAAACTATAAAATTAAGCAAAATTTTATAATATCAAATAAAATTTTATAAAAATTTTAAAAGTATTTAAAAATAAATAAAATGTCTTGTTTTTAGTGGTTGAAAGTTATAATAATAGCTTACTGCCTTTGTGTATTTACCTCTAACCTTGTTATTATTTTCCCCCTTTCCTCTAAGTGTATGTGCTGCTGAATTTCCCCACTGTGGTTAATACAATCTTTTCTATTCTATAAGCAAAAGAGGTTTATTACAAATACTTTGCATTGAACTAACTCTTTCTCATCCTAAAAAGATTACTATTTATCAGCATTTTTGATCATTTTAATAAATAAAAGTGTATCTGCATCAAAAAGCCTACGCTGGCAGCACAAAAACCACTTCAAGGGCCACATTTTGGACACCCCTGATCTAGATAATCACTCACATATAAGCACAGATCCAGCTGTGGTAAGCAGTGAGAGGAGGGTAGTCGAGACCCCAGTAGTTCAGGTCATTGTCAGTATTGTTAAAGTACCTGGAGGAATACAAAATAATAGAAATTATATGGTGGAACTCAGAAAAACACCATTGCATTTGTTTTTAAGGCTCTAAGAGTCACAGGTTTGAACCCAAAAGACTCACCATTCCTGCACAGGAAGGTTGTAAGTCACTTCTTGCCAGTGTCTTTGGGCTTCATAGTCTCCAAACATTGGAGGTTTCTTTGCACCTGTAGGACAAACATTCAGCTGTCATTTGGATAAAAAGCTAAGCTGCTACAAGAAAGGTAAGATGCTAACAAACGCATACACGTTAAATAAACAAATAAACATCAAGCCAGCCAGTGAAACCTAAAGTTACTATCTGATACGGATAAAAACACGTTCTTTCGTCATTTTAAATCAAGTTAAAGCAACTGCTCTGAAGACACCCGTGACAGTGGTGTGTAGCGCGTATACATCCATCTTCACGTCTCCTACCTGAATATGAGTTTAACGATACACCCCATCTCACAACAACGCCGAGTAAAACACAAATTGACACAAGACTCCACGTTTGCATTACTCTGGTGAGGAAAAAGTAGCCCTTTTGACTAAAAACAAACGCTAGAAAATGTTCAGTGAGACTATTTTGAAACCAGTTTGCATTTCCTGTATACGTCATCAAACAAGTCTGCGTTTCGCTTACCTATTGGTCGCTGGGATCTCGAGAGCCGTGAGGCGTTCTTAACCGCCGGAATAAAGATGATTATTTCCCCCTAAACGTTTAATGTCGAGGCAAGAAAATGTAGATAAAGAGAAAAGTGTCTTGGTCGTACAAAGACTGCCTTTTCGAGTCACGTAAAAGATGCTGGAAGGTTACCGCTACCGTTACATATTTATTTATTTCCTGCTGATAGAAAATTATGTAATTTCCGAGGTGCAGCGAACGGCTAAATTAACGTAAGCGCTTGCAGACATCTTTTGAAAGGAATTTTATGTCCCTTACATGTTTCTTTTCGTTTTAGTAGTATTAAAAGAGACAGGTACCTTCCGTTTAACTTCGCAGAATTTAAAATATTAATGGTATAGGCAAGAGATTATATTTACATCCAGTGAAAAAATGAGAACAGTGTGGAAAAAGTAAGGTCATCAGCTAACATGTTTAAATTTTTTCTAAATCTTCAAAGAATGCATTGGTAGCTGTTTCTCAGATCTAAAAGCATTCATGTCGTCTACTTTCTTGACTATATGGCATATTCCATTGATAATAACGCATCTCACTATCCACAGACACGCGCACATCCTTCCTGGTGTAAATCTGCAGCTCAGAGGCATTTTCTCCTCCGTGACCTTTTCCTTTGTTGACGCCATCATTGTTGTTCCCAAGGTGTTAGGATTTGTTGAGTGTGACACGTTCCTTGTGGTTGTTCCATCAATTATGCATAAATAATAATAACCTCGGACAAGTCCTGATTTGCAATGACACTTCCATTATAACGGCAGCAGCCTATAACTCAGTGCACCCATTAGTTATTAATGCCTGGCCACGCCAGCTTTACTTTGTCATTTATTGCTTCATCTCTATGCCTTCTTAAATATTCAGCAACTGATGTATCTACATTTATTGTCTGTATTCTCTGCCCAGAAAACGGCTCTGACTTGCATGTGGTGGAGGGTGACCTAAATATAAAGGCTAGGACACAGCCGTCACAAAGTCCACATGTGTATGATTTATTACTGGTAAAACAACAACAAAACAACTTTTCCACAGCATGACCATTGTTTACGTTATCCTATATTTTTAGATCACAACATTTAAGATAGGATTGATAATATTAAGTCCAGAAATAAAGATTATTGTCACCTAACCATTAATATTTCTTAATTGTTAATATCTGTTCAAATATGTAGGTTTTGTGCATTTTTTGAGTGAAATATACTTGAATTTTCATCCATCCGTACTTTATTTATTCATTTATTTGTTTGTTTGTTTATCTTTACCCAGCTTTATAGCAATATCTCAACAATGACTGGTGAGCTACAAACCGTAATATATTTTGCAACGTAAACGATTTTCGATTATGGGAGACATCTTCATGTTTTCTTTTATTTTGGTGAGTGAACCAGCTTTGCACAGCAGACAAGCCCACCCAGGGATCAAAAGTGCTGTGTGAACTTCATTATTCTACAGACTTCTGTTTGAGTCTATTATGGGCTTTCTGGTGGAGCTGTGGGAACTCCGGCTCTGCTACACCTGTGCAAAAATATGTGCAGCTGCAAAGGTCATACCTTCCATTCAGCCTTGTCAAAAAAGAAAGAAAAAAAAGAGAAGACACAAAGCAACAGTTTGAATCTGATCTTTAACCCTCTGGAGGCAGGCGTTGCAGATTTGCAACAGTTAAAACCTACCTACCTGGTAACTCCACACACGTATTTCATGAGCATTTTTAAACTCTGAAGTACCGCTGAAGGACTTAATTGTTCATCCTTTTATCAACACTTATTTAGAGCCTGAGAGGGTTAAAAAAACAATGATCAAAAGCTTGCTACATGACAATTAGTTGGCTCTTTAGGGTCATATTAGACTTGTACTCTCTTGGCAGGTTTATTGTAATGTAGATATGTGACTATGTATTATTATTATCATCACCCAGGGAGTAAATGTGTCATTAATCAACTTTATTCAATTTGTTGATATAAAACAACAAAGGCTTTTTATTTAATAGAAGCTCTAATAGAAACTGTATTTATTTTTTAGGTGTAAAACGTAAATGTGATAGATCATCTCTCTATATTTGAAGTTATCAAACTTTCCCTCTAAAAGAGGTGATATGTCCATCAGCGCCCCCTCGCGGCTCCTCTTGAACGCTTTCAGCCTGCAGCATCACTGGTGCAGGCTGAAAGCGAAGACATTTCAGTGCACACACACACACACACACACACACACACACACACACACACACACACACACACACACACACACACACACACACACACACACACACACACACACACACACACACCAGGGCATTCCTCACCTGCTTTGAAAAAGAAAATTAGATTGAATCCTTTTGTGGAGGTTTTATTTATTTTTCCAAAATTCACACTGAGAAAATGATCCGGTTACGTTAGAAAATACTTTTTAAAATAATTAGATTTTATTTACTTTAACGTTTTTCTTTCCAAATATAACCTTAGAAGGAGACGCGTGTCAGCGACAACTCATTTAGGTATTCCTTTATTCAACAAATTATTAATATTTTTTTCATAGTGAACTTTGTGGGGAAATCTCAGATTGTTTTGGGGTTGGCCTAAATAAATAATACATTTAAGCATAATAATGACGTTTATAATCGAATCGTTAGAATAATGTTCAGTTAAAAAATAAAAAAATAATTTCAACAGTTTTATTTATTTTTATTGTGTTTGTTTTAAAAGACGATTCCCTGAAACCACATCACATTCTGCTATAAATTATATCTTTATAGTTGCTCTATAACCGGAAGCTACTGAAAAAGCCTCCCGCATCATCAGCACCTTCTTAGGTGTCTGAGGGTGAATCGAGGCGGAGTGAGGTCCTTTCTCTTTTCCATGGGATCGGATAAATATAGCGCCATAAAGCCCTCTCACACACTCTCACACACACTCGCCATTTGCTGTTTGCGTAAAAGTGATTAGCCAGACACAACTGCGAAACTGTTACTTTTATAGAAGCCAAGCCGCAGAACCTTCTGTAAGACGATACAGCAGCGATGCGACGATGAATGAAAATGTGTCTAAAGTGTGACCTCCGGTCCAAGCAGGAGTCCTTCCCCCAAAAACATACAAATGTACTTTACATGACTTTCAAGTAATCAGATATTTTTTAATAAATTATTGGTGCAAATATTTGATGATAATTTGAGGAAAATGCGGTCTATTGTTTTGCGCCAAAACAAATGCAAAACTGACCCTTTTTTATGCACATTTAAATATATCTGCACCTTCATCAACACGTTGACTTTAAATTAGCAGGAATGTTTGAAAAACTCATCCGAATATATATATATATATATATATATATATATATATATATATATATATATATATATATATATATATATATATATATGGATTTTCATGTGACAAGCTCATTTAAGCTGATAATTAAATCGTTTATAAAAGAAATTTGATTTCCATTATTTCTTAAATTTATTTACAGATAACTTCAGTTTACAACACAATATAGCTACATAGAATTACATATATCTGTTTTTGTTTAATATAAACAGTCTATTTTCAGTTTTCCGTGTCTTGTATGAAAAAGAAGCCAAACTACGTCAAGTTGAGCCTCCGGTTAGAAAACAGAAAGAATAAAATACAAATAATTATTACAGATCTCAAACAAGGAAACAGAAGGGGAGAGAGACAGGTAAAAGTCAAATCATTCTCTTTTTACAAATATTTACAAATGTTACCTGTACAGAAAAATCTTCCTTTACTTTGTGTTTTTTCTCAACAGTTTTTAATGGCTTTACAGTCCAGTGCTGCCTATTGATTTGTGCTCCCGGTAATAACGTCTCTATAGAAAAATAAGCGTTTCTTTTCTGGCGCGCTGGAGTCACTGTGAAGGCCACTTGGACACCGCCGCCGCAGCTGAAGGTAAAACGTGTCCAGAAATAATATTTGAAGGAACGCTGAGGATGGGCGCGATGGCGGCGGAGGTGCGCGTCAGGGAGAGGGACTGCGCGCTCAGCAGGGCCGACTGAACGGTCACGGGAGGCCGCAGGAAAGCCTGCGCGGCGCCCGGTGAGGAGGAGGAGGCGCTGGAGACTCCGATGATGTTCTCTATGCTGAACGAAGGTCTGTTTGAAGGCTCCGATTTGATCATGGACGCCGTACTCAGGCTGTTGAGCTGCAGCTGGAGGCTCGGGCTCAGCTGAGAGCTGAACGTTTTTCGGTTCAGCTCCGCGGAGGGCAGGAGGGGCACGCCCGGGGGCAGCATGGGACCCACAGGTGGGATGTAGGGATACTGCAGAGCCGCTGGATGGGAATACGCAGCTGGATGGATGCCGTAGTGCCTCCCGTAGGGGCCTCCGAGGCTGTAGGCACCGAAACTCTGCATCATGAGCGCAGTCTGGTCCCGAAGCACGTCCGGTTGAACTCTCTTGAAACGTTTCCTCCTCCGGAGAAAGCTGCCGTTATCGAACATGTCCTCAGAAGCCGGGTCAAGGGTCCAGTAGTTGCCCTTTCCGGGGTTGCCAGGTTCCCGGGGAATTTTAACGAAGCAGTCGTTGAGGGACAAGTTGTGGCGGATGGAGTTCTGCCACGCCGGGAACTTCTCCCGGTAATACGGAAAACGGTTGCTGATGAACTCGCAGATGCCGCTGAGGGTGAGTTTTTTCTGCGGGCTCTGTAGGATCGCCATGGTGATGAGAGCGATGTAGGAATAGGGAGGTTTTACCAGGCTGTTCTTGGGTTTCTGGATGGCTCCCCCCGACGCTGCGCTCTGGTCGTGACCCTCTCCCTTACCGGCGCCGGGATCTCCCTCCCCGGAGCTTTCACAGCACGGACTCCCGCCGCCGGACCTCATCTCCTCCTTCTCTACCTCGATTTCATCCTCCAGGTCGTCATCACCCGTTTCTGCTCGGAGGTCGTGCAGGATGCCCACGCCCGGGCTGTCGCAGTCGCTGTCCACCCTCTCCATGCCCTCTTCGTCCCCTTCTCCCACCACGTCGATGTCCACGTCCTCCATGAGCACCGTTTGACCGGACATGTCGCTGGCTCGGTCGCTGCCTCCAGACAGGGTCATCTCACGGCTCACTTCAAGTTTTTAAGTTTAGAATAAGTCAAAAACTCACAGTCTGAGCGGCGGCGCAGCTGGGAGAGAGCAGCGCGCGCGCACACCGCGGCTCTCGTCCTTGTCAACAGATCGGATGTCTCCCAGACTCTAGATGTGTCTGAAGCCAAGCAGTCCTGCCAACAAGACGCCTCAGCCTCTGCTAGATATTCTCCACTCGGTGAGAGAGTGGGCCTCTGCGGAGCGGCGCGTCTCCCTGGAAGTTGTTTGGAAAAGCGCGACTTTTCTTGCGCTCCTCCGTCAGCGCGAGCGCGTCCTAAACAGCTGATGTTTGGAAAGCCGAGTCGAGGTGACACATGCTGCTTTTTGAAGGCCGGAGCTTTTAACCGGACTATCTGATAGATTACTTTCTCCCCACTATAAGATATACTATCAGCGCAGGCCACGTGGTTCGGTGACGACACACGCCCCCTCTCTCTCCCGCTTCCTCCGCCTCCCCCTTCGAGTCCAGCCCGCTCTCTCTTTTCTGTTAAACCATGCAAACTGGAGTTGTTTCGTGGATTTGTCAACAATGGGACATCAGTGGTACTGCTTCTCCCTGATTTCTGTGCTCGTCCGTCATAGGCCATTTAACGGTGGCGGAGGGGGGAGGAGGAGAGGGGGGTGGAGAAAATTGGCCTGCATGATTGAAAGATCCGATGTGCTCCAACGTGGCTGCGTAAAAACAACCCGAACCTTTAACTTTACCGATGCAAACTGCTGACGGCTGCAGAACGATGACGACGACAGCTAAGTCAACTGAATCTAATTTATCTTAAAACTGTGTTTGTGTATTATAACATGTTTTTATGTTTTCTGCAGGTTTATGCATGAAACGATCCACGCATGTTGCTTTTCTAACCGCTTTTTCTGCTGTTCTTTCTGCAGCCTCGATTTCCCCCTCAGCTTTACCGCTCAACCAAAAGCCAAGACGCGAACGCAAAACGTGATGTCAAGAGTATTTTGTCCCCGCAGGATTGGCCCGAAGGATATTGAGCAGCAGCGGAGACTGCAGCTGCAGCGGCCGTGAATGGAGAGGGGGGGAAAGGGGATTTCCTTAACAGTTTGGAAGAGGTGCTAACGATTCTAATCATTGCAATTTTTGCATTTGAAAAACAGTAGGAAGTGCGGAGCAGCGGGTGAATGCAAGGAGCGCGCGGCTCTGAAGTGGGCTGTGCACGCGCTGATAGGGAGTCTCGAGCTGAAGAATCAGACGTGTTATTATTTATAGGACGTGTCTCAAACTGTTAATATTAAGTTTAGAAGCTGAAGCAGAAATATGCAGAGCAAATTTTGGGGTGGATGATTTTTTTCAGCGAAATTAAATCGAGAGGAATTAGAATATTTAGATCAACTTATTAATATTATTGAAGCTTTATTTAAATTAATTGGCAGATGAAAATGTCAATACCCTAACGAAAAATATATATTTTTCTTAAGGTGCTGTTTGGATTTAGTTAGAACAATTAAACAATTAACTTCCTTTTATTTTAGGCTTTATTGTTTTCACGTTTCAGGTAATTTCTCTTTCATTTCGGCAAAAATTTCTCACATATTTTCTTTTCCTGTCTTTTATTTTGGAAGCCGAGTAAGCTGACGTTTGATCCCTAACAGCCTTTCGCCGAGCGCAGAGGCGCGCCTCTCCGCCTCACCTCCTCCGCTCCAGTCCGCGACAGAAGTGGGATGAATCAGACGCCATCATTAATAATGCGTGTATGGGTCAAAGGACGGAAACATGGCTTCCGATTAGACTCGCCTCGTGTTAATCTGTCGGTGACCTGTGAGATCCAAAGGTCCGTCAATACGGACTTACTTAGCAGATGAAACCAGAGTCCGCATCAACTTTTATCCTGCTCATCCCCGTGCAGCGCAGCGCGCGCGTCTTTAGGGATTTTTCTTTTCCTTTTCAACTGTTGCCATTTGCCTTAAACTTAAAACACATTTAACAAGGATTTATGAACCTTTTTCTCTTAGATGTTTTATTTATTTCGTTGCGCAGATGATCTGTGCGCATTTTACGCATTTATAGCACCACTATTTTGAGATTCATATCGAGTTTCTTGTGCTTTTCTGCAAATTGAAAAATAATTAACACGTGACATACACGTCATAATAGAACAAATGGTTAATTTCTATAGATTATGACAGATTAAAGCCGTTTTTTGTATTTCTTTTCACATGTTTCTTCTTATTTTTTGAGTTTGGATGACCGATGCGTCTCAGCCGACCTCCTTCCGCGGGTTTCCCGCATGCCTAAGACAGGTGCAGCCATTCTTCATTTGTTTTAAAAAATCCCACTTGTAGTGTCGTGTGAAAGGCGGTGTTTAACTGCTGATGTAACCTGACTGCAGCAGCACCGAGAGGGGGTTTCAGACCCGTCCTTCCTGTGATCTTTTGAAGCCTCATAAATCCGCTTTTATACCTCCGCAGTTTGTTAATGAAATGTGCGTTTTAAGCACGCATGCACGGCTTAGCGCGACAAAACCTTTTAGTATAATAAGCCATCTCACTCCTGCGTGAGGCCATTAGGGGGCTTTAGGCTGAAGAGCAGCATCAGCAGCAGAAGCAGCAGCAGCAGCTCCGGTGATGGAGAGGAAGCAGCTCTTGATGGCAGAAAAAAAAGAACAGCAGCAAGGTCGCTGCTAACAAATAATTGTGATCATAATAAAGTTCTGCTCTGATGATCTCTGATATTTTTCTCCACCTTTGTCTCACTTCACGTTTTGCTACAGCTGTGTGGCTGGGGTCAGAGGTCAGGGTCACCTCCTGCAGAAGCAGGAGGCTCAGCAGCTTTTCAGGTAATAAATTCAGATTTAAAAACTCCTGAAAGGAACATTCCTGCAACAAATAAAATAAATAAATAAATAAATATAGATTTTAAGCCATTGAAAAAAAAATAAAATTATGTATTTAGTGATAAAAATGCACTTAGCTCTTTTTTTTAAATAAAAAAGTTATTTTTATTCTTTTGCATTCATTCGGAGTAATAGGAGGTACAACAACAACAACAAATATAATAATAATAATAATAATAATAATAATAATAATTACTACTACTACTACTAATAATAATTAATAATAATAATAATAATAATATTTCATCAAAGCTTCATAAATCCTAAGTATTGTTCTCTATAAAATTAAGAGCATAAAATGTGATCCGAATCTTTTAGTATTTTTAGAAGAAGTTTATCATTTAAGGTCTCTGGGTGGTGCATGATAACCCATCGCCACACAAAACGTCACATCCGGGAGCGGTTAGGAGCATAAACAGTTTGATTGTAACAGTCAGTAAAAAGCCTTCTGGACCACATCCAGGCTCACTGGCGGATGGATGTTGATTTTTACTATCCTTCATCTCCCATCTGATCAATACTGACTGCTCTCCTATAACATGTTGACAAAAATGTTTATAAAAGACAAACAGACAACACGAATGTTAATCTTTTCATCTCACAAAGAAAACATTTTCCAACTTGATGTAAATCTCACATTGTTGTGATGCTAGATGGCAGGTTTTTTTGGGTGGGTGGGGGGTAGAATGCAGTTGGAGGCTGCTGCAGAGATATGATAAATTAATCCATTGTTAGTCTGTAATTAAAATTATTTTACACCAAGAGCAAAATCGTCACCTTGTCAGAGTCAATAAAAGCACAAAATCCCCAGATGCTCCACTTAAAGGGATTTATTCATATTCCTCAAAAGTGAGATGCAGGGTGAGTTCTGCAGGTCACCTGACAGGAAAGGCAGTCAGCTTTTCTTTCTTCCTCTCTTTATTTTTGGAAATCACAATTTTCAGCTCCTCTCCAGGACTCTACTCCATCAAGCAGCGAGTTTCTGTCAAACAAGATGATGGAGCTCATCTTTAACCCCCTTCTGCTGGAGCCGCGCAGCCACCTCTCATCGAGGGCCCAAACGCAGCACCCACGTGCTCTCGCGCCTGTTTGAACGCGTGCTGATGATTTATCCAGGCCTCCGTCTTCTCTAGAGCTCAATTATAGTTTAGAGCATTTTTGTAATTTATGATCAAATGTTTAAAATGAAAATTTCAGATTTCTTTTGGTAAAATAAAACACAGGAAAACAAAACGAGCCTTTTTTGAGGGGTCTGCAGGGATGATTTCTGCTTTGACAATAACTTTAATATTGTGACGTGTTTCTGCTGAAACGAGAAAAAAAATCAGATTTTGGGTTGTGACGTGATCTGAATAAAGACGTTTTTTTGACGTTTTTCCAAATGCGAAATTTCACTTTCTAAAATCACTACTTTGTGTTTTTAAGCGAAATTATGTTCAATCCGACTTTTAGCCATTTTTACGGGTTATTTATAAAAAATATAACGTTAGGTTACTCGTAATAAATACATATTATTAATATAAATATTTTGCTTATTTATAGGTAATGCCCACGAGTGTGTCCTGTCCTCGTTCCTCTCCGGTTGTCCGTTCCCAGTCCCCCCCGGCAGTCAGCGATGAGAGGAACCCCGGGGAGGGAGGGAAAAAGTGTGTGTGCGGTGCGCGCGCGTGTGTGTGTGAGGGGTGGGGGTGGGGGGGTCTTCTTATGTTGGTGGGAAAGTGACACCTCCTGCTAAATACAGCCGGATTACCATCCCAATGTACTTGTTAAATACGTTCAATGTCACTCAGTTTGTCGGTGCTTTGTCATTCAGACCATTGGAGCTGAAAGCTGCTCACGGAGTGTCTGCGCGTTGGTCGAGCGCGTGCACGTGGCGATTTAAGGCCGCAAAGTGGCCTATATATAGGTGGTATATATAGACCACCTATATATATATATATATATATATATATATATATATATATATATATAGGTGGTATATATATATATATATATATATATATATATATATATATATATATAATCCTTTTTTAAAATAACAGCAAAGATCTATTAAATTCTATGTTGCGTCTTCTCCTCTACTGATCTGTCCAACAGAAAAAGTTAGTTTATGTTAGG